CCAGCATGCTAGAGAAGTACTTTACCACTGACCTACACCCCACCCCTATTTTAATTTAAAAAAATAAAATCACCTTTTACTTTCGCTGCTTGGTCTCCTGACATGGCATTCTCTTAGTTTGGCTTATTTGTGGCACTACCCGTGTATGTGCTCTGGTTCTGGAGTTGTTCCTCCTGACGTTTTTCCTAATTCATTTATAATTTGCATCTCCCCTAATCCTTCGTGCCTTTGTATTTTCTAGCTTCATTGGTGTTGAGGATTTAGTTGGCCAGGACACCCACAGCTGTGAATCAGGAAAGTGTAATTAAACAGAAAAACAGACTGGGCAAAGCACTTGCCTAGCACACACAAGGCCTGGGTTTCATCCCCAGCACCACAAAAGAAAAAGAAAAACAAACTGGCTGGGGCGGGGAGGTGCGGGGAGAGGGGGGAGGAGGAAGGGGGAAGAAAGAGGGAGGGAAGGGGGAAGAGAGAGACAGAGAAATTATCGGGACCACTAATCTATACTCATTGTTCTAGAGTGGATTTTGGTACAGATACTGTTATATTTTCCTTGCAAAAATATGGTGAAAAATGAAACAGCAATGGAAGCAAGTTTAATTCCTTTTAACAGACGTGGAATGGAGGAGGAGTAGCGCTAGAGACACAGGTGCAGCTGGCTGCAGAGGGGGAGATACTTCTTAGATGATCTCCTGGGCTAAGTCCTAAAAGGAAGGTTAGTTAGCCCAGGAAAGAAATGTCCCTAGAGGTAAAGAAACCTAGGCAAATGAAAGTCATACGTCAAGCTTTATTTTTAGTTTTAAGCAACCTGGCAATCAAGGCAAAAAAGGGAAAATATGACGTACTATTTCTTATTTTTTTCAAAAAGGGTCATAACTTCCCAGGAGCTAAAAATGAAACTCTAGAAGTTTCTAGACTCTGTTTTCTTGTGTCTAAAAATCCCCTCAAACGTCATAAAAAATGCAGAGTCCTGGACCTCAGCTCCAGCAATTCTAGCTTAGAAATTCCAGGGTAGAGCCCAGGGCTCTGCATTTTAAAAAGCTCCCCCAAAAAACTACTGTAGATGCCCCCATTAAAGCCCACTTTCAATAGTACTGCCATAAAAGGGAATTTAATTCACTTATTTATCTGCCTATTCATTCAAAAACATATTCAGGCCATGCACCAGTGGCTCATGCCTAGTTACTTGGGAGGCTGAAATTGGAGAATCATAGTTTGAGGCCAGCTGAGGCAAATAGTTCCTGATACCCCATCTCCAAAATAACCAGAGCAAATGGGTTGGAGATGTGGCTCAAAGCAGTACTGCTTTGCAAGTACAAACCCCAGTCCTACCAAAAAAACCACAAACAACAAACCATATTCAGCATTGTCCTAATGCCAGATTAAACAGAGAAGCCTACTGACTCTGAGCCAGTCAGCTGATGTTCTGCCCAAATTGTCCTCCAGACCATAGTTCTGCACCCATGCCCACTGCCCCTTAGCCAGTCGTGGGTCTTTTCAGTTTTATTTGGTGGTGGCCAGGTCTTCGACCTTGGCCTTGGAGGACCTATCATGGAGGAAGTGTAGACAAAGCCTGTGTTGGAAGCCCCTAGGATTTTCCAAACCCTGCCTGCAGCTTCTCTGAATGACCAGCTAAGGAGCATGTGACCAGGGCTGATAGCCAGGGTACAAGGCAGAGACCCCAAGGCTGCAAGCCCAGCTGGTCAGGAGGAACCTGGCCCTGTAGGCTCAGTCACCACAGCATCAAAGAAGAGGACTGGCTGGGTCCTCTGCCCTGGCTGCCACTTCCTGCACACTCTGGGGTTTGTTCTCCTTCTGTCCCAGCCCCTTTAGCACCTGGGCCTTACCTTGCTTCCCCCTGTCCTTTCCTCACTGCCTTCAGAGGGATTCTCAGGCCCTACCTGATGTCACTACACCTTTCTAAAGGAGCCATCAGTCCCCAGGAGCTGGTATATAGACAGAAAAGTCAGTGTGGCATGGATTTCTCTTGTGCGACAGAGCATGTGTGTACATTTCATGAGCGTGTTGGGTGTGTGTGGGATTGGGCATTGAAAGACTCCATGTACAAAAGGACAATGACCCAATCATCTGGGAAAACCAGCTTGGACCCACAACCTGCAACAAGCAGCTCAGGAGACCAACCTGGACTGGATCTGCAGTAGCCAGTCTCCCAAGGCAGCCTACTACAATCAGAGTGGCAGGAAGTCAGGTCACCCTAGACAGCACCTCTCCTTTTCATCCCCACTTCCAATTTCAGGCAAGCCAGATACGGACCACTCCCCAGTCACCAGACCTGACAAACAGAACTTGCTATGGTTCTCTGTGGCCACAGCCTGCCACCCGGGCCTCCCTTTTATCCACCTGGAACCTGGCCCAGCTCCCTGCCTTCCTTCTGATCTCTGCCAAAGAAGTGATGGTAGCCAACTCCTTGTTGGAGTGAGCTCGGAATTTAATAGTCCCTGTGTGTTCTCATTGGCTTGTTCCCATAGCGTACATGAATGTGTGTGTGGAGCGGTTGTGTGTGTATTGTGGCAAGGTCAAGAGCAAGGTTGGGATGGTGGAGAAGGGCACCCACACCACACTATGAAGTCTTAGTTTATTTTGTACACCATTCTATCAGATTTATGATCGCACTGCTCAGAAGCAACACAAAGGGGACTGGCTCCTTGGAGTCCCTCCTATTTTATGGGTCATGGAGGTGGGGGTGGAGAGGGGACAGGAGGCAGAGAGAAGGAATTGGGTGAGGGTCACTTCTGTAATTCAGTGGATTGTAGAAGCTGAGCTCTGAGGTGTAATGTAGTAAGGGTCCCCAGAACCAGCAGCTGGTTCCTCTCCTGTCTCCAGAGCACGGTGACCCATCTCCAGTTTCCTTGTTCCTTTCCAGCTGTGGGAAAGTGCCTACCTCCCCCACCCCCACCAGCCTGTGGGCCTGCCATTCACTCTGTGAGGTGCCTCACAGTGGGGAAATGAGGCCCTGACTTCCTGCCCTGAGGTATCAGGATTTAACCTGAGGCAGAGTAGCCACTTACCAAAATTAATGGCTTGGTGGAATTAGAACAACAGAGGTAAATAGCCTTTCCCTGCCACAAGGTCTCCATGATTTTACCTGCAGACGGGTGTTACTGCTGTCTGATCAATGATGGTAATTTTCCTTCCCTTAAAGTCAGCTTCATCACGCTGAGGGGCTTGGAGAGCACAGAGGTCAAAAGAAAATTACATGCTGTGCAGGCTTTCTCCACACCCTTGGTTTGTTCTGTGCACAATTCTAACAGATTCACAGTCACACTGCTCAGAAGTAACACACAGCCCACTTGTTGAAGCTGTGAGAGGTGTTTGGCCATGCCCCAGGGCTCAGTGGGGGACTGTGCAATAAGACAGCTGTGGTCAGCCCCAGATACCTGACTCTACAAACGCCTCCCCAGCACGCTGGAGTGATAAAATGGAAGAACCCAAGGTTGACAACCTGGCTCTTGTGAATGTCCACCTCGAGCAGGGAAACAGGGTGGAAAGCCCTGGGCCTTTTTCTCCTGCACTTGTGTGTCACAGCTGGAGAAATGCTCACTCCCATAGAAAAAATGGCCACCCAAGCTCAGTGCCCCAGGGTCTTGGAGCCAGTGGCCTATTCGCATGCTTAGCTTCTTTCTCCGTTTCTTTTCTTTTTCAATCATCCAGTTTTGAACACGTCCATTTTCTGCCGTAGTTCTGTATTGTCCTTTAAAGTGCAAAAGACAGTTCATCAAGAGTTGACTGAATTGCCAGTTTAAAATATTGAAACGCATGCTGTAAATCAATGAAGGAAGGATATTACAGACTCACCCACCTGCTTCTTGCAGATGAGAACTGAGATAAACATGACTAAGGATACTGAAAAGCAGAAATGCACCAGGGAAAAAGTTCATGGCTGTGTCTGGGGGGAAGATTCCAGGCATCTTGTGTCTTTACACCTAGCAGGTCCATGAGACAAGGATGAGAACGTGGTGACTCAGGTGGCAATCTGAGGGTCAGGGATAATGTACCTGACACACCTCACCACCGCTCCTCTCCGCCTGTCTGTAGGCATCAGTTAACTCGATTAGAAAACTGCCATCAGCAGTGCTTGAGCCACGGGAAGGGCTTTCACATCGCCCAGGGAACCCCAACACACGTCTCCCCAGTGTGCACACGGCCCTTTCCTGCCTTGTGTCTGTTGGGTAGGATTTCCACGTTCTTTCTAACTCCTTCCAGTCCCACTGTGCTCCTTGCTAACAAACTCAAGAAATGTGTTGTCACCCACCATGGCACAATCCGCTTTGGAAACTGATCCTTTCTCCCCGTGAAGCAGAGTCCCACCTCCAGATATGGGTGTGCCACTGTCCTTTACCTGCAGAGGGATTTTCCGGGAAGGGGCACTGAAGGCCTGGGGGAGGGGAATGGGCCTGTCTGGCTGGAGAACTTGGGTTTCTGTTGGTAAGGGTTTCCTTATTTCCTAGGCCTGCGCTGTCCAACACCGCAGCGCTAACCGCGCACAGCTGTTTGACTAAAATAAAAAAGTCCTTTCGCACTGGGTTCAAGTGAACGGTGGCCAATGTGGCTGGTGGCTACTGCCCTGACCAGCAGTGCTTTCGCACACTTCCATCCGCGCCGAGGTCCCCTGGACAGAGCCGCCCCAGGTCCGGGGGATGCGCAAAATCACAAAGCCAGAACGCACATGGTCCAGGACCCCCGGCCCTATATCTCGAGTGACATCTGAGCCCGGGACCCGATGATCTCCCGACACAAGGGAGGGGAAGGAGAGAGGCAATTTTGGATGACAGAGACTGTGACTCCAAAGGGCTTGGGGAGGCGTGCTAACTGCATCAGTCAGTGCTGGGCGAGCAACTTCTCTGTTGCAATCCTTGCTGGTCGGACAGGCTCCTGCAGAGTTACATCACTTCCTAAAAACCAGGCAAACACCTCTCCTTCAAGTGAGCACCGACCCAAACAAGCAGGAAACAGGAAATGTGCGTGAGAGGGAGGCCGGAGGCAGCGCAGCATCCCGAGCGAGCGCAGAGGTAGCTGGCTGACATGACCGCTCCGCGCGCCGCCCTCCTCTCCGCCCTGGGACCCGCGCTGCTTCTCGCAGGCCAGGGTAAGCGACCTCCAGCTGGGAAGGAAGACCCCAGGCCTCAGCCCCGGCGGGTCACGCCCACAAAGTCTAATCCTTCCTGTGAAAGAAGTGGAGAAAATTAAAAGTGGCTTTTTGGGGGGGAGCTGGGTGGAGGGTGGACTTTGCTCTCGCTCCAGCTGTCGCCCTGCAACCAAACCTCCTGGAATCTTTGCCTTCTAAGATGTGTGGATCCCCTGTAATTTACCAGTTTTAACTGGCATATTAAGAAAGTCATAAACTTTTTTGGCAGTTCATGGAAAAGAACATTTCCATTGACTGCAACAGAGAAATAATGAATTTGCTTAATAGGGTGGGCTGAGAAGTCTGCTGGTTCCAAAAATTCTTGGAAAAATTGGGGTATGGAAATCCACCGCTGGAAAGCAGACTGAAGAAAAAGGATAAGTCGAAAAAAAAAAATGTAAACAGGAAATTATTGGAGGAGTTACCAGGCATCCACTCCATTAACTCCAGAAAGTTCTTTCATCTGCTTTTCTTTGATCTTGTTACTTTTGAGGATATTTTCTGTGCATCGGTTGTTGCTAGTGAAGGCTTGTTTTTTTGTTTTGTTTTTTTTGAAAAACTAATAGGAGTGTAGCCAATTAAAGGTATTGGAAAAGGCAAAATATTAAATCTCTATTTTAGGCTAAAAGCAGGGAATGACTTATTGTCTTTACAGTTGCTACAACAAGCAGAATTACCCCCAATTGCCTCTTAAGGTTTTGTTAACTTGCCCTTGGTAAATAAACCTGCTGCCCATGGTTTCTGTCAATGGATACTACCTGCTTCCCAGGATAGGGCAGAACTTGAAGCAGAAAGAAAGTTCTCCAGCTACAGTTCCTTAAATAGCACAGGAGACACCAGGCACTGACCACAGACATGGCAACTTCCTGGAGGTTAGCAGTCAGCACTTCACCTGCTGGAGCCCATCAGGGTCTCCCCCTGTGGGGTCCCCATGAGTCTGAGGTGGAAAGCAGAAAGTGAAGGATGACTGGTGGGAACTGAGATTAGTGTTGGAAATGAGTTCGGGGGACAATGTGTTGTTTGTGCATAGTGTTTTGGAGCTGTGAGGTGCAGTGAGCCCTTGCAGGGTACTTCCTGGAGCCCTGTAAGAGCTCTGCATAAATTAGGATCTCAACAATTGCTATCAAATACTAGCATCTTCCTTAGCATGGAGATGAGACTGGTCTTGAGGCTCTCCGAGAAAGGTAGTGGTGGAGCACCAGGAGTATTTCAATGGCAGGCGAGGTTTGTCTGTGCAAGCCACTGCCTTATCTAGCCCTGCCTGGATTCCTAGTGCAGGAAAGATGCAAAAATGCCCACTTGCAAGAAGTTGCTTAATACACGATTATTACTTTGGCATTCATCAAGGGAATGGCTACTCCAAATTAAGGGGTAGTTTTAAAATTAATTAATAATTGAAGTCACACTTTCTGACACCTTATATCTCCTTCCAGTGAATTTGACTTTCACTGGCTACTTCCTGGGACAGTCTCAAATTCAAGTATTAATAATGAGGATAGCCAACATCTATAGTGCTCATTATATGCCGTGACTGTTCTAAACATTACTTATACTACTCATTGAATTCTCAGAACAACCTTGTAGGTGGATACTAGCTCTGTTTTGCATATGAGAAAAGGGAAGCACTTGGATTTGCCCGAGGTCCCACAGATGAGTAGTGGGTGTGGGTAAGATTTTCCCTCAGGAGTCCATGCTCTGTCCACACACCACACTTAATCTCTTGGGGTTTTAAGGCTCTGCTGGGCTCTGGGTACAGTTTCGGGTTTGGAGAACTGTGGTTGTGGTACCTCCCTTGCTATAGGTGTATCATAATTCTTAGCTGAGCCTTCTGGTCACAGCGTGTTAAACACAGAGCTGCATCTGTTTGCATTGGGCCTAGAGTGGCTGACAGGAAAAGGGAGGGTGACAGTTGGGTTAAGACTCAGCTGCCGTGGGGAAAGGAGGTGCTGAAATAGGTGGAGAGTGAGCAATAGGAGGATCTGGGGATTAGCACAGACAAGACCAGAAGCAGGAAGAGCAGAATGCCCAAGCCACTGGGTGACAGGCTCCTGGGTGTGGGAACCAGGGAGAGGAAGAATGGTTTATGTCAGGCAGAGCCATTGTGGCAGAGCCAATGGCCTCAGCACCCTTAGGGACACATGACACACATGACAAAATAATAATAAAATAAAAGAAACGACAACAAAAAACGCCCCCCAAAACAAGAACAAAACCTCCAAACAGAGATGGGATGAGTTTTAAGGTTCTTCTGTAACTATAATTCTAAATCCCAGGAAACCAGAAGAGGGAAGGTGTTGGCTGGGGTAAGCTCAGTTTTGTGAAAAACACAATGAAGCTGCAATCTGCTGACCTGGGTACAGGCTGCACCACCCTCAGACATTGGCAGACATGTGCAAACACAGGAACTGTGCGGGTTGGTGTAGGGAGGATGAGAGCAATCCTGCCACTGAACCCACCCACTGGCTTTTGATTTAGTCATCAGGGTTTGCATTTCTAGAAAGTCTGTCCTTTCTAATTTCCATAGTGACTTGGGTATTTGTTTTGCAGCTTGGTTATCAAGCCAGTTCTTCTTTTATGTCTACATTAAGCCTAGCATTATTCACTTGATAACTTTCATCTGACGCTTGTGTAGACCTAAGCTTGTGTTTCTTGTATCTGTTGATTCCCATGAGTCCCAAGACTGATGACAGTCTTGTGGAAGTGGCTCACTCTGTTCAGTTTAATCTCAAATACTCCAGCTCTATTGCCAAGTTACTGTAAAGAGCGCCAATCTCCAATACTTTTCTAGTACAACCTCCATCTTGCCACTACAAACTAGGGCTGGGAAGAAGAAGAGATGGGTGTGCTGGGCTTAAAGAGAGCTCATGCTGGGACATCAGACTTAACCCCAACCAAGGGCTCCAAAACCTCAGGAAAGGTACAAGCCAGCAGCCAGCAACAGGAAGGGGCAAAAGGTTTGGACTTAAGTGACTGCCAGTGAGAAAGAAGATGCCAGTAGACCAAGCACTCTCAGAGGAGGGTCCAGGGTCCACAGGTGTAGGGATGACCTCACCTTATTGCTGCATGTTTTGCTTTTTGTTTTGGCTTTAACCTTTGACCCAATGGATGAATAAAAGGGCCCTCTAAAAGCACTCAATAGACTCTTATATCCTTTGCAATTCGGATCTTTGTTTTAGGAAGCACCACCAGCCTATATGACTTTGGATTTTCATCAGTTCCCCTGCAACTTTTTTTTGTTTGTTTGTTTGTACATTTTCTGGTTGCAAAGATTTCCTTTTGTTCTGAGATTTCTGTGTAGATTTAAAAGGTCACTTCTTCTGTTTCATCCAGCATTTCTAAGTGTTGTACATCAGGAGAATTTTCAGGTTCCCAAGTATATCAGGTGACTGGAAAGGGAAGTTTTTCTATACTACCACCATGGAGAGTAAGTTGGAAATGTTTGGTGAGCTGAAAGTGTTCTTACTCTATACTCCTAACAGTTTACTCCTTGTGCACTCACAAATGTGCAGCAGATGGACAGTGCTGAGAATGTCGATGGTAGCATGGTTTGAAAATGAAAAAAAGAGAAAGCAGTCTTAATGCTCATTAACACAAGAAAATCTTTGTGTAGTCATGGAACGAGATAGTACATTACAGATAAAATTAATAAACTAGAGCCACGAGTATCAAGATGAGTCACTCTTGGGTTGGCAGAATGACTTAACTGGTACAGTGCCTGCCTAGCAAGCATGAGGCCCTGAGTTCAAATCCCAGTATTGCAAAAAAAAGAAAAAGATAAATTTACAAAAAAGCCATTTGAAGATTATTATGCATGAGCTGGAGGCTGAAGCAAGAGGCTCACTTGACCCCAAGAGTTTGAAACCAGCCTGGGTAACACAGCCAGGCTCTCATCTTAAACCAAAAAAACAAGAACAAAAAATCAAAACAAAACAAAAACTAAAACAATTATCATGCACAGAGTCATTATCTTTATTTAAAGTTTTAAAGACACCCAAAACTATGCTAGTATTGCTCAGGAACGCAGGCATATTGAAAGTGTGGGAATGATACACAATAACTTTAAGACAGTAATTGCCTTTGTGGAGTGAAGGAGAGAAAGATATGATGATCATATATGAAAGATATGATGAGGGCTTCAACTATATCTGCCTTAGCTTTCTGTTTCTGTGACAAAATACCTGAGAAAATCAAGTTGTAAGGAGGAAAGGTTTATTTAGGCAATGTGGTCTCAGAGGTTTTAGTCCAGGTCACTTGACCCAGTTGCCTTTGGGCCTGTGGCAAGGCAGCACACAATGGCGAGGACATGGAGGAAGACACTGTTAACCTCATGGCTTCTGGGAAGCAAAGAGAGGGAGAGAGGGGACCAGGGTCCCAATAGTCCCTTCAAGGGCATACCCTTGAAAGACATTGACCTAACTTCCTTCCCCATATGCTTAAGATTCATTACCTGCTAATAGCACCATAGGATGACAACCAAACCTTCAACACATGGGCCTTGGGGAGGTATGTCAGATCTAAACAACAATGGTGTCTATAATAATTGTTCCTTTCAGAAGAAACCATGGGAGCCAGCGCCTAGCAAACAGACTAAGGGGCCAAACCCAGCCAGCTTCCCCCCCCTCCCCACTTTGGCCCTGGAGCTAGAAATGGTCTTTACATTTGCAAATAGTTAAATTTTAATGGTTATATAAATCTGTACTTTCATAATAACCCATATTTTGCCTCTTGGCCTACAAAGTCTTGCATGTTTACTTTCTGACCCTTTAAGAAAAAGCTTGGCTGGGTGTGGTGTAGCACTTCAGCTACTCAGAAGGCAGAAGTAGGAAGATGTTGGTCTGAGGCAGGCTGGCAAAAAGTGGTAAGACCTTATCTGAAAAATAAAAGCAAAAAGGACTGGGGGTATGGCTCAAGTGGTAGAGTTCTTTCCTAGTAAGCATGGAGCCCTCAGTTCAAATCCTAGT